GCCCACAAGTTATCTGTAGGGTTTAGGTCAGGAGAGGAAGGGTTTAGGTCAGGTGAGGAAGGGTTTAGGTCAGGAGAGGAAGGGTTTAGGTCAGGTGAGGAAGGGTTTAGGTCAGGTGAGGAACGGTTTAGGTCAGGAGAGGTAGGGTTTAGGTCAGGAGAGGAAGGGTTTAGGTCAGGTAAGGGTTTAGGTCAGGAGAGGTAGGGTTTAGGTCAGGAGAGGGTTTAGGTCAGGAGAGGTAGGGTTTAGGTCAGGAGAGGGTTTAGGTCAGGAGAGGTAGGGTTTAGGTCAGGTGAAGAAGGGTTAAGGTCAGGAGGGGAAGGGTTTAGGTCAGGTGAGGAAGGGTTAAGGTCAGGAGAGGAAGGGTTTAGGTCAGGTGAGGAAGGGTTTAGGTCAGGAGAGGAAGGGTGTAGGTCAGGTGAGGAAGGGTTTAGGTCAGGTGAGGAAGGGTTTAGGTCAGGTGAGGAAGGGTGTAGGTCAGGTGAGGAAGGGTTTAGGTCAGGTGAGGAAGGGTTTAGGTCAGGTGAGGAAGGGTTTAGGTCAGGTGAGGAACGGTTTAGGTCAGGAGAGGAAGGGTTAAGGTCAGGAGGGGAAGGGTTTAGGTCAGGTGAGGAAGGGTGTAGGTCAGGAGAGGGTTTAGGTCAAGGTGAGGAAGGGTTTAGGTCAGGTGAGGAAGGGTTTAGGTCAGGTGAGGAAGGGTTTAGGTCAGGTGAGGGTTTAGGTCAGGTGAGGAAGGGTTTAGATCAGGTGAGGGTTTAGGTCAGATTCAAAACATTAAAACGGATCCCCCTGCCTCCGACGTAAGCGTGATGTATGCAGTGCTTGCTTTCTAGAACGACAACTTTTTGGTGCTTGAAACGAACTGGATTCCGGAGCTTAGAGGCGGCTCCGCTGGGGTGTTAACAGGAAAAAACTGTGCTTTTCAAGCTCCAGCTCCAAACCGGCCCTGGAACCGCGTTAGTGTGAAAGAAGTGTAACAGTGGAGTACTTTGAAGCATGCGATGGAGCATTGTCCTTCAGAAAATCATGGTCTTTCTGAAAGATGCTGACTGTTTCCTGTACCAATGATGGAAGAAAGTGTCTTCTAAAAACTGGCAGCAGGTTTGGGAGTTGATTTTGAGTCCATCTTCAACCCAAAAATGTCCAACTAGCTCCTCCTTAATAATACCAGTCCATACCAGAACCCCACCTCCACCTCCCTGATGTGTGAGTTGAAGTGCAGCTCTGGGCCTGGTACTGATCCAGCCACGGGCCCATCCATCTGGTCCATCAAGAGTCACCCTCATTTCACCAGTCCAGAAAACCTTCAGATATTTCTTGGCCCAGTCTTGACGTTTTAACTCATGTGTCTTGTTCCGTGGTGGTTTCAGCCTTCCTCCCTTGGCCATGTCTCTGAACACCTGAGACTTCTGGGCCCTCAGGTAGGTCACAGTTCTGGAGTATGACAGCACTGGAGGATAATGGCTTCCTGGTGGCTTCAAGTTTAATTCTTCTCAGATCTTTGGCGGTTAATTTGCTTCTTTTTGTCTCAACACGTTTGTTGTGACCATGTTGATTATTTGCAACAAAAGGTTTGATGGTTCTGTGATCACGTAGTAATTTCAAGAGCTGCATCCCTCTGAAAGACTTTTCAATAGTCAGTTAAATCTCTTTTTTGGCCCATTTCGCCTGAGGAAAAGAAGCTGCTTAATAATTCTGCACACCTTGATATAGAGTGTTGATCTCCTTAGGCCACACCCTCCCTCATTACACAAATACACATCAACTATTATGCAAAACTCCAATACGAGTTCAAGTTCATACAGCTTGGAGTTGGAAAATATGCATACAAATGATGATGTGGTCAAAATACTCACTTGCCTAATAATTGTGCACCCAGTGTAGATTACTTCATCTGCATTACTTGCAGGTGGTTTTGCAAGATAATCTTGCACTATGTTATTGTTTTTGTATTGTTTGATGTCTCATGTATATTTATGTTGCCTTGTTGGAGGAGCCTGGGACTTTAGATTTACATTTTATAATGCTACTATTACTGTGCATAGCACAATAAAGCTTTTGAATCTTTGAAAGTAATAATATAATGTCAACACTCACACACTACCTCTTGATCAAACCTCAGTATAATGAATGCAGACCACTTTGACAGATCCAATGCATTTGCATCAGTCCGCAGATTACTGGACTCTGTGATCAAGAATGTTTACCTTCTCTCCAATTTCTGTCTCGTCTCCAGCAGGGAGGATCTCAAGGTCAGGCTGAAGGGCACATGCCTCCACCACACGCTGATACCAGGCCTCTCTCCTCTCCTGTCCAAACATGATGTTGTCTTTCAGAGTGGAGTTCTGGATCCAGGCTTGCTGGGGAACGTAGGCCACTGAACCCTACAGGGCGACAAGCAAAAGCATATGCATACACATTGATTATTTCATTGCATTCTGTAGTTGATAATGAGCACTCTCGATGAACCGCTTGGTTTGAATGTTCCCAAAGCCCATTGGTGTGCAATAATGGGAACTTCTTTTACACAAAATGATCCTAGCCGGGCTATCGTATAGCTCCGTTGGCAGAGCGGACTGCCCATATGCTGGGGCTTGGTCCCTAAGCGGAGGACTCTGGTTTAAATCCGGGTCCTCCTTGTTGTCATCCCCTTTCATGGCAAAAGAAAATATAAAAAAATGATCCTAGCCAGTAGCCACCCATATTACAAGCTCGTATGATCATTAATTTCATTTAACCAGTTTAGTCAACTTTAATCATTTAGACATTACATTTTTGTCAAAGAAGGAGAACTACAATCAACATCAATATCATATCAACATCATAGGTATGAAGATTCTGTATTCATGTTCTTGTTATCATTTTAAATATAGAACCCCATATGAAAATACCCAAACTGCTTTTCCCTCGGAACAGCAGGAAGATAGCTTTAACTGCACACTGCTGCTGTAAGTGTATTTAGTGTGAGAGAGCCACCTTCACAGCGACAGCTCCTTCCAGTTTTTCCATCTCTCCAAGCAGGGCAGAAAGCAGTGAGGACTTCCCTGAACCCACGTGTCCCACCACGGCCACCAGAGAGCCGTCTGGGATACACACATTCAGCCTGCAGACAGAGAATCAACTCCATTCATCATCAGATTAAATACTTAATACTAATCCAACAAGTGCTGTTTGGAAATGTTCATAAACCATTCATCATTTTCTTTTGCTTCTTTGTGTGATATGCTGGATGTCAAAAAACTGTAGAACACATCAGTTGCCTCTATTTTGTAAGGTAAAGAGGCCTTCTTGTGGGGTTTTTCTTTCCTGTATTGTGTTCTCAGGAACGTTTCGATTTAAGATGGACGTTAAAATAAGCCTGTATTTTAAACATGACATTTGTGTCGTTAAAAATGTTCCCCATATGTGCGAATACAATGAACAAATATGTGGCAAGATGGCGCATGCCTCTTAAGTGTTGGTGGCTCAGCTCTGGACCAGCTGAAAACTCCGTCCACGATGGAGATACTGTATGGGGCTGCATAGAAGAGAGAAGAGGAGCATCAATATACTGTACATTAAATGCCTCCCTTTATATCAGCAAGAGAGGTGCACAAATGTGCAATACTGGAAGAAGAAGAAGAAGAAGAAGAAGAAGAAGAAGAAGAAGCTCACAGCCTGCTACTGATTTGTGCTCCACACTGTCCTCCTGCAGCTCCTCATGTGACAGAAACACTCTCAGCCGCTTCAAGGACACACTGGCCTGTAGATGGAGAAAAACAGTTTTACCAGTAAACACCAGGGGCCTGATGCATCAAACTCTGTACCATTAAAACACTACCCCCATTAAAGTGTGTGAGTGTGATTGACAAGGTGCATGGAGGCACACAAACCTGCACCATACTACTGATGACCATTGGAAGCATGTTGAGAGGAAACCGCAGGATGTTGAAGAGTGCCAGTGACACAAACGCCTTCTGAGCATCGAGCACGTTATGTTCGTCAATCAGCACGTACACAGTGAAAGTGGACAGGGCAACCTGTGTTTATATTTGCAGAAAATGGTAAAAGGTTAAGTTATTTTCCATACAAATATTATTATACAAATACTCTATGTCTGTACTAGCTAACAAGATGAGGCCATGTTTAGCTGTTTAGATGTCTGACTTCGTGTTAGACTCACCAGGAAAGGTGCACAGATCCAGGTAAACGTGGACACGGCCCCAAGGTAAGCAGCCTTCTTCAGGACGCGCAGCTCACTCTCCCGGATTTCTGAAACCTTGTCTTTGAAAGCCAGCTCCCAGGCATACAGCTTCAGCACTTTGATGCCATTCAGCATCTCATTCATGAGCTTAATGCGACTGTCTTTACTTTTCATCTGAGCCACCTGTTCAACAAACACAACCTCAATGCTACAAACTGACACGAAGGATCCTGGAGGACCTTTCTATGTGTTACATCACATTGGATATGTCTTCATTGTCACTGAACACATGACATAACATGACACATTTTTACAAAAATTTTTGTGTGGCAGTGTGTTTGTGGAGAGTCCCACCTGGTAGGTTTTTGTCTTCATGGCGATGACAGCATTCACAGGAACCATCAGAACCATCACTGCCACTCCAGCTAGCACAGACGGACCCAGGTTCTGCACAGGATCCGATTAAAAAAACCTCATTAAGGAAGCATTTCCACTGATGTTAGCACTATTAGCACTAGTTTACATTAGAATAATGTTCAGAGGAAGCATTTCAGAAGGGGGCATTTTAATGCTCATGAAACGTGCCAAAACTTTCTGCATTTTTCAGGACCTGCAGTTGCTTTCATTTTGATTTAACTTGGCACATGTTCAAATTCATTATTTAAAAAAAGTGTTTTAAAATAATGAGTCTAGTACATGATTGAGCTCAACTGCGCCACCTATAATATATAGCACTTGAAATGCATTGGTCCTACATGTATGCAATGTGGTAGGTTTATTTAATGTGGAGACGACAAAAATGTATTTTTGCGTCAGACCGTAAACCCAAAAGGAAGTCAGACATTTCTTGAACAATTGAGTGAAGTACTTTAATGAACTCTTACAGACTGTATATAAGTTAACTAAATTGTCAGTTCAAAATGAAGACATCTACATGCAAATATTGATTCATAGTCATAGCGCCAGATTTTACGGGTTTTGTACCTCTCTGACCGCTTGCAGATTATGCAGATCAATCTGAAATTTGTTTTGGGATAAAACGTAAGAAGTGGATGATGCTTCAAAGTTAGGGTTGAGAGTTTTTGTTCAATGGCTGGACTGTTGCACAGCAGCACATTTTAAAGGTCACCTATTATGCAAAATCCACTTTTAATACATAAACATGTCTCCTCTGTGGAAAGAGACTCTGAAAGTTTCAGGAAAAAAGATTCGCTCACTTGTTGTCCAGATCCATTTCTATAAAAACCTGTCTGAAAATGAGCTGATCAGATTTTGGCCACTTTATGATGTCATGACGATGTTTTGTCTTGTGTAACAATTAGCCAATCCTCCTCCTAGAGCACCATTGTGTTCTTTCAACCAAATCTCTCTCAGAGGGGCGTGGGGAGAATCAGCACTTTTGAAACGGCTCAAACAGAGGAGTTTATGGGATGCTCCAATGATGTGTTTGGTATTTCGAGCCAAACACTTCAGAGGCATGTTTTGTTTATACAGTGGGGCAAAAAAGTATTTAGTCAGCCACCAATTGTGCAAGTTCTCCCACTTAAAAAGATGAGGCCTGTAATTTTCATCCTAGGTATACCTCAACTATGAGAGACAAAATGAGAAGAAAAAAAAAATCCAGAAAATCACAGTCTGATTTTTAAAGAATTTATTTGCAAATTATGGTGGAAAATAAGTATTTGGTCACCTAAAACAAACAAGATTTCTGGCTCTCACAGACCTGTAACTTCTTCTTTAAGAGCCTCCTCTGTCCTCCACTTGTCAACTGTATTAATGGCACCTGTTTGAACTCGTTATCAGTATAAAAGACACCTGTCCACAACCTCAAACAGTCACACTCCAAACTCCACTATGGCCAAGACCAAAGCGCTGTCAAAGGACACCAGAAACAAAATTGTAGACCTGCACCAGGCTGGGAAGACTGAATCTGCAATAGGTAAGCAGCTTGGTGTGAAGAAATCAACTGTGGGAGCAATTATTAGAAAATGGAAGACATACAAGACCACTGATAATCTCCCTCGATCTGGGGCTCCACGCAAGATCTCACCCCGTGGGGTCAAAAGATCACAAGAACGGTGAGCAAAAATCCCAGAACCACACGGGGGGACCTAGTCAATGACCTGCAGAGAGCTGGGACCAAAGTAACAAAGGCTACCATCAGTAACACACTACGCCGCCAGGGACTCAAATCCTGCAGTGCCAGACGTATCCCCCTGCTTAAGCCAGTACATGTCCAGGCTAGGGCTGGGCGATATATCGAGTTTACACGATACATCGTGGATTGCACTACATGCGATGTCGTGAATGACCACATCGTGAACATCGAGTATTATGTTGTCAAATCAGTTTCCTGCCGCGGCCAAAATGAGCTTTCCTTTCTCCCTCA